GTTGAATTTCAAATGAACGAAATGACTCAAAAAAATAAAAGTTCATTTTAATGAACGAGATTTGAATATTCCAGTCTATAAAAAGAGTCACTTTTAAAATCACTACTTCTGAATTAAAAGTATTGTTCGGAATTGTTTAATTTGAAGACACTATCAGACCTGCAATGGACTGGCAAACTGGCCAGGGTGTACCCTGCTTTTCGCCCGATGTCAGCTGGGATTGGCACCAGCCCTCCCACAACTCTGTACACAGGATAAGCGGTTGACGCTTGATGGATGGATGGACACTATCAGAGAGTCGAAATATGATAATGGGTAGTTCTGGACATGACCTTAAAATACCTAATATATTAATCCAAACTCGTTTTTTACTGTCTCATCTGTCATTTCTGCTAATGATTTGCATTCACAGCACTGATTTTGAGGATGTTATAAATCCTATGCGGAGGAAACTTAAACCTAAAATAAGATCCAAAATGAGTGCTGGTAGGGAGAAGCCTAAAGCAGTAACATATTAAAATTAGGCACTCAATATGGCAGGCTTAGTCTATCAATCATAATTGAACCTATTCATCATTAATTTGAAATTATCAGAACATTTCCTCACATTGTGCCCAAAGCAGCAGCCTTTCTAACAGACTATGCTTCACACATGCTGCATGATAGATGACAAGAGACCGTGAAACACACAAACCAATCACCTCTGAGAAAGGTTTATGGGATTATTATATGTTATTTATTTTATGCACTACAAGAACTGTATGAGGTCATCAGCAATTGTGTTTTTGTTGTTGCTGGTGATTTTAATCAAACTTAGAATCTTAGATCTTAGAAAGGTTTTACCTGAATTCCACCAGCATGTCCACTTCCCCACCAGAGAAAGCAATACCCTGGACCGTGTCTACACGAATATTCCTGGCAGCTACAAAGCCTTCCTCCTTCCCCATTTTGGTCTATCAGACCATTCATTCCTCCTTCCTCCTGCCTACTTACACCCAGCTGATTTAAAGGGCCAGACCAACAGTAAAAACGGTCAAAGTGTGAACAGATGAGGCTAAAGCATGAAACTGATTGGCAAACTTAACACTCGCTTCAGTACCAATTTTGCAACTGGAATTTGGACCTCACAAACAGTTCGGATTGGCGGACACACCGCCTCCACTCTAGTGCTCATCATGGGAGATAAAGACACACACTCCTGTCTACATCAGTGAAGCTGAGCTCCACGTTGGTGAAGAAAACTCAAAAACACCTGGATTAAGAAAATTTAAGAAGCCCTAACCCTTCTGAGCATCAGTATAGTGGGTGGGGACTGCACAAAGCCCAAAGGCAAATGACAGTACCACGCCAGCCACAGCCTGTTCCCCAGTGCCATCCTGCAAGAGATACAAAAGTATCTGCTTCCACCACCACTGCAGACTTTCCCCCCACCTATAAGACTCAAAAAAAAAAAACTTAAATTCAAATTCAGCACTGTATCATTCATCCACCCATCGTCAACTGCTTATAGGGTCGCGGGAGCCAATCCCAGCTGGCATCGGGCGAAAGGCGGGGTACACCCTGGACAGGTCGCCAGTCTATCGCAGGGCCACACATAGACGAACAACCACTCACACCTAAGGGCAATTTAGGGTACCAATTAACCTAGTCCACATGTCTT